CCCATGATTCCCTGAACCCCTCCCTCCCATGATTCCCTGAACCCCTCCCTCCAATGATTCCCTGAACCCCTCCCTCCCATGATTCCCTGAACCCCTCCCTCCAATGATTCCCTGAACCCCTCCCTCCCATGATTCCCTGAACCCCTCCCTCCAATGATTCCCTGAACCCCTCCCTCCAATGATTCCCTGAACCCCTCCCTCCAATGATTCCCTGAACCCCTCCCTCCCATGATTCCCTGAACCCCTCCCTCCAATGATTCCCTGAACCCCTCCCTCCATGATTCCCTGAACCCCTCCCTCCAATGATTCCCTGAACCCCTCCCTCCAATGATTCCCTGAACCCCTCCCTCCAATGATTCCCTGAACCCCTCCCTCCCATGATTCCCTGAACCCCTCCCTCCAATGATTCCCTGAACCCCTCCCTCCCATGATTCCCTGAACCCCTCCCTCCAATGATTCCCTGAACCCCTCCCTCCATGATTCCCTGAACCCCTCCCTCCAATGATTCCCTGAACCCCTCCCTCCAATGATTCCCTGAACCCCTCCCTCCATGATTCCCTGAACCCCTCCCTCCCATGATTCCCTGAACCCCTCCCTATGATTCCCTGAACCCCTCCCTCCCATGATTCCCTGAACCCCTCCCTCCCATGATTCCCTGAACCCCCCTCCAATGATTCCCTGAACCCCTCCCTCCAATGATTCCCTGAACCCCTCCCTCCATGATTCCCTGAACCCCTCCCTCCCATGATTCAACCCCTCCCTCCATGATTCCCTGAACCCCTCCCTCCCATGATTCCCTGAACCCCTCCCTCCCATGATTCCCTGAACCCCTCCCTCCAATGATTCCCTGAACCCCTCCCTCCAATGATTCCCTGAACCCCTCCCTCCCATGATTCCCTGAACCCCTCCCTCCATGATTCCCTGAACCCCTCCCTCCAATGATTCCCTGAACCCCTCCCTCCCATGATTCCCTGAACCCCTCCCTCCAATGATTCCCTGAACCCCTCCCTCCATGATTCCCTGAACCCCTCCCTCCAATGATTCCCTGAACCCCCCCTCCAATGATTCCCTGAACCCCTCCCTCCAATGATTCCCTGAACCCCTCCCTCCCATGATTCCCTGAACCCCTCCAATGATTCCCTGAACCCCTCCCTCCCATGATTCCCTGAACCCCTCCCTCCAAATGATTCCCTGAACCCTCCCTCCAATGATTCCCTGAACCCCTCCCTCCAATGATTCCCTGAACCCCTCCCTCCATGATTCCCTGAACCCCTCCCTCCCATGATTCCCTGAACCCCTCCCTCCCATGATTCCCTGAACCCCTCCCTGCATGATTCCCTGAACCCCCTCCCTCCATGATTCCCTGAACCCCTCCCTCCAATGATTCCCTGAACCCCTCCCTCCAATGATTCCCTGAACCCCTCCCTCCCATGATTCCCTGAACCCCTCCCTCCCATGATTCCCTGAACCCCTCCCTCCAATGATTCCCTGAACCCCTCCCTCCCATGATTCCCTGAACCCCTCCCTCCAATGATTCCCTGAACCCCTCCCTCCATGATTCCCTGAACCCCTCCCTCCAATGATTCCCTGAACCCCTCCCAATGATTCCCTGAACCCCTCCCTCCAATGATTCCCTGAACCCCTCCCTCCCATGATTCCCTGAACCCCTCCCTCCAATGATTCCCTGAACCCCTCCCTCCAATTCCCTGAACCCCTCCCTCCAATGATTCCCTGAACCCCTCCCTCCAATGATTCCCTGAACCCCTCCCTCCAATGATTCCCTGAACCCCTCCCTCCCATGATTCCCTGAACCCCTCCCTCCCATGATTCCCTGAACCCCTCCCTCCAATGATTCCCTGAACCCCTCCCTCCCATGATTCCCTGAACCCTCTCCCCAATGATTCCCTGAACCCCTCCCTCCAATGATTCCCTGAACCCCTCCCTCCAATGATTCCCTGAACCCCTCCCTCCAATGATTCCCTGAACCCCTCCCCCATGATTCCCTGAACCCCTCCCTCCAATGATTCCCTGAACCCCCTCCCATGATTCCCTGAACCCCTCCCTCCCATGATTCCCTGAACCCCTCCCTCCAATGATTCCCTGAACCCCTCCCTCCCATGATTCCCTGAACCCCTCCCTCCCATGATTCCCTGAACCCCTCCCTCCAATGATTCCCTGAACCCCTCCCTCCCATGATTCCCTGAACCCCTCCCTCCAATGATTCCCTGAACCCCTCCCTCCAATGATTCCCTGAACCCCTCCCTCCAATGATTCCCTGAACCCCTCCCTCCCATGATTCCCTGAACCCCTCCCTCCAATGATTCCCTGAACCCCTCCCTCCCATGATTCCCTGAACCCCTCCCTCCAATGATTCCCTGAACCCCTCCCTCCAATGATTCCCTGAACCCCTCCCTCCAATGATTCCCTGAACCCCTCCCTCCAATGATTCCCTGAACCCCTCCCTCCCATGATTCCCTGAACCCTCCCTCCCATGATTCCC